AAGCTCCAAAGGGATTTTGTGCGTGCAGCTCCCATGGAAATGAGGAGTCCCTTGGGCGGTCACAAAATCACAGAATGGTGGGGTTGGAAGGGACCTCAGGAGATCATCCAGTCCAACCCACCTGCAAAAGCAGGTTTATCTCCAGCAGGTCACACAGGAAAGTGTCCAGGTGGGTTTGAACATCTCCAGAGATGGAGACTCCACACCCTCTCTGGGTAGCCTGTCACAGTCAAGAAGTTCTTCCTCATGTTTCAGTGGAACCTCCTGTGTCCCAGTTTGTGCCCGTTGCCCCTTGTCCTATCTCCGGCCACCACTGAGAAGAGTCTGGCCCCATCCTCTTGCCACCTACCCTTTAGATATTGATAAACATTGATGAGATCCCTTCTCAGTCTGCTCTTCTCCAGGCTGACCCAGCTCTCTCAGTCTTTCCTCATAAGAAAGACGCTCCAGCCCCTTCATCATCTTTGTAGCCCTTCATTGGACTCTCTCCAGATGTTCCCTTTGATGGTCTCAATCACAATATTTTCTGGGTGGAAAGGTGCATTTTAGCCGGTCTGGATTTGTGATGGGTAGACAGAGATGCTTTGGCATCACACACAGGGATCCATAGGGTGAAGAACATGAGGAGCCCCACACAGGGTGTCCTTGGCCACCTAAGCATGTTGGCTTAGGAGGTTCCTCCTTACGGATCTCACCAAGTAAGTCAGGATGTCCCCATGGAGCCAGGACAGCCATTCCCGCCGGCACGAAGCTGCACGTGGCTGGGCCAGGACTGGTAGACAATTAGAACATCACCTGGCCAAACCACCTCACACCCCCAGGGCACTTATTCACTGTATAAAAGCTCTGCCATCGCCGGGCTCTCCTAGGCACTTCTTCTCTCCGGTTGTTCTCACTGATGAAGTGGGTAAGTCTGATTTTTAATGGAGCTCCTGGAAATGTTGGTTTCTTCCTGGGTTGCCTGTATACTCATGGAGAAGCATCCTCTTTTTTTGGGGGGGGATGTTGCCTTCAGCCACTGCTCTAACAGCTGGAGCATCACATCTCCTCCATACTAAACTGAAGACTGTTGGGAAAACGTTTCCAGATGGATTGTGAAGTCAGGAGTGGCATTTGTTGGGTTTTTTCCTACTCTTTCTGCTAGTTCTAGTCCAAAGGAGATTATTGACTCCATAATACCTGAAGGGGCTACAAGAAAGCTGGGGAAGGACTTTTCATAAGGGCAGTTAATGACAAAACAAGGGGAAATGGGTTTAAGCTGAAAGAGGGGAGGTTTAGATGAGATATTAGGAAGAAGTTCTTCACTGTGAAGGTGGTGAGACAGTGTCCCAGGTTGCCCAGAGAAGCTGTGGCTGCTCCTCCCTGGAAGTGTTGAAGGCCAGGTTGGATGAGGCTTTGAGCAACCTGGTCTAGTGGAAGGTGTCCCTGCTCACTGCAGGGGGGGTTGGGACTGGATAAGCTTGAAGGTCCCTTCCAACCCAAACCATTCAATGATTCTATGATTCTGTGAAGGTCTTAGTGGTGGCAGGAGTCAGGTATGAGCTTGCACGTAAAAAGCCAACTCTTTAAACTGAAAAAGGGAAGGTTTAGATTAGATATTAGGAAGAAATTCAACCATGAAGGAAGTAGAGTGGAGAAAATTGTGTCCGTTTGCTGGAATTTCAACAAAGCAACTTTTCAGGTCATGGTAAGAAGTTGACCAACTTGAGTGCCAAGGTGAAAAGTCAGCAGAGAACCTCTCTAGCTAAAGCTGAACACCTTAAAATTTCTATCCAGCGAGAAAAATAAATCTGAGATGGAAACAACACCCTGGAAGCAAATAATCCCCCCCTTAATTTAGAAGCTTGTTATCTTGATGAGCATCACCAGATAATTAAGCATTGTACGGGTAGTAGTAGCAACTACTACCATTGTGTTTCAATGGGTTGGTTTTATTAGTTGATGAGTGTTCTAATTGTCACGATAAGAAGTTTTCCTAATGAGAGTAACACATCGTATTGTTATTTTTAATAGTCACCCAGTGCTGGGCTTTTGGAAGATCTTACTGTAATGAGCAACCTGGTCTAGTGGAAGGTGTCCCTGCTGCTGGCAGGGGGGTTGGAACTAGATGATCTTTAAGGTCCCTTCCAATCCAAACCATTCTATGATTAGAGACAGAATCCAGAATCAGGGTGTTCAGAAAATGCAGTTTCTTGACGGTTGTTTCATTTTATGCCTTAATCTCCAAAAAATATCGAAATGAAAAAAACCCAACCCATTTTTGATCAGAATTACCTTTCACATGTCAGTGGATCCAGTTCTGGTTGTGCTCAAAATAATCCTGTTAAAACCAGGAAACTCCCTGGAATTGATTTTTTTCCAGAATAAGGAATGAAATGGGGTGGTTTCTCCTACAACTCCCTGGGGCCAAGGCAATGTGAGACATTTCAGGGTGGTTTCAGGAGGAAAGTGTGGATCTCCAGATGGAGGAGCAGATCATAGAATCATGGAATGGTTTGGGTTGGAAGGGATCTCAAAGCTCATCCAGTTCCAACCCCCCTGCCGTCAGCAGGGACACCTTCCACTAGACCAGGTTGCTCAAAGCCTCATCCAGCCTGGCCTTCAACACTTCCAGGGAGGAGCAGCCACAGCTTCTCTGCGCAACCTGTTCCAGTGTCTGACCACCCTCACAGTGAAGAACTTCTTCCTACTATCTCATCTAAACCTCCCCTCTTCCAGTTTAAAGCCAGGTGGACCTCCAGATGGACCTGGTCCCTTCTTCAAGGATCCTGTCTTGGTTAGACTCCCCTTTGTGCTGCTCACACAGGGGCTCTCAGGATGAGGTTTCAATATCTGAATTTCTATGTCGGGCATTTTGACAGTGAGTCTTTGGGTTATCATAACAAAACCAGGACTTTGGGGCTTGGCATGACTCTCCTGCAGGTCTGGAGGCTGCTTTCAATGGGTATAATCCTCTCAACGCAGTGAAACTTGACCAGAAACTTAACACCAGCTGAGATTTTTTTGCCTTGAGAGCTTCTTTTTGGTTTCACCAAATACTTGGAAATAATCCTGTTGCATTTCATCTTGTCTTTTCTTGAAGATGTCCACACAATAATATGAAGCTGAGAGTAGAAGGCTTGCAGAGTTAGCCAAGCTGATGCTATGGTAGGAAGCTCAGAGCTCATAATTGCACGTTGCCAGCCCAGTAGATCCCTGTGGGACCATGAATCGGCAGGCAGGCAGGTTGGACGTGTTGCCACAAACCTGTCCTTACCCTCAGCCAGCTCATTGAACCTCAGCTTGGGTTTGCCCGCATGAACTGCAGCCACACCTGAGTATTACGGCATGGACACACCTTTAATTTTGTTTGCTTTTCATCTCTGGTGCTTGGGATTTGCAGGATGTAAACTTGAAAGGATGTCTCAGTGGGAATACAGGAGGTGTCCCAGCACTGGTGAGGCTGCATCTCAAGTGCTGGGTTCAGTTTTAGGACCCTCACTCCAAGGAGGACATGGAGGTGCTGGAGCGTGTCCAGAGAAGGGAACGGAGCTGGGGAAGGGTCTGGAGCACAAGTGTGCTGAGTTCCCTTGTAGCTGAGGGAACTGGGGGTGTTGAGCCTGGAGAAAAGGAGGCTGAGGGGAGACCTTGTGGCTCTGTCCAAGTCCCTTGGAGGAGGGTGGAGAGAGGTGGGGGTGGGTCTGTTCAACCAAGGCCCAAGGGACAGGACAAGAGGAAATGGGCTCAAGTCGTGCCAGGGGTGGTTTAGGTTGGATATGAGGAAAAACTTCTTCACCCAAAGGGCAGTCAAGCATTGGAACAGGCTGCCCAGGGAGGTGGTGGTGTCACCATCCCTGGTGGGATTTAATAGACGAGTAGATGAGTTGCTGAGGAACATGGTTGAGAGGTGGAATTGGCAGTGTTGGGTTTATGGTTGGACTTGGTGATCTTAAAGGTCTTTTCCAACCACTACGATTCTGTGATTCTAAGTTTCCAGGAAGTAAGACAGAGGGTCATGGTGTCATTGCTCCTTGGTGAAATGGTTTCATGGACATTCAGCTGGTCATTGTAGGGCAGCACAGGAACTCCCTGGTTTGCCTGGCTCCAATCATCATTGGTGTCAGGAAACAAGCTGAGAACAGACTCTTCTCAACTGGGTAATCAAAGCCTGGTCTTGAGTCACTGGAGAGCTTCTCACCTTCAGGAGAGCCAGGGTGTGCCATGTTGAGATGCCCACAGGGAAACTCCGAGCCCTGCGTCACACACAATAGCCAACGCCTCACCAAAAAATAGCCAACGCCTCACCAAAAATATAACCAATGCCTCACCAAAAAATAACCAATGCCTCACCAAAAATATAACCAATGCCTCACCAAAAAATAGCCAACGCCTCCCCAAAACCAACTAATGCTTCATAAAAAATAGCCAATGCCTCACAAAAAATAACTAATGCCTCCCAAAAAATAGCCAATGCCTCAAAACAATTACTAATGCCTCCCAAAAAACCTCCCAAAAAATAACCAATGCCTCATGAAAAATAACCAATGCCTCCCAAAAAATAACTCATACCTCCCAAAAAATAGCCAATGCCTCACAAAAAATAACTAATGCCTCAAAAAAATAACTAGTACCTCCCAAAAAATAGCCAATGACTCCCAAAAAACAACTCATAACTCCCAAAAAATAACCAATGCCTCCTAAAAAATAGCCAAGGCCTCACCAAAAATAACTAATGCCTCCCAAAAAATAGCCAATGCCTCACAAAAAATTACTAGTGTCTCCCAAAAAATAGCCAATGCCTCACAAAAAATAACTCATACCTCACAAAAAATAACCAACGCCTCACCAAAAATAGCCAAGGCCTCACCAAAAATAAACAATGCCTCATGAAAAATAACTAACATGTCCCAAAAAATAGCCAATGCCTCAAAAAAATTACTAGTGCCTCCCAAAAAATAGTCAATGCCTCCTTGAACTGTCTGTCCTGTTCCTTCTTTCAGACCTAAGTGCCCGGCGTGACCATGCACTGCTACGGGGAGCGGTACAAACACCTGTACCTGCCGGGCTCGGGGTATCTCACTGAAAACCTCCCGCAGTGCCCGCCGCAGTCGGATGCCTGCAGTACCACCTGCCACCCAGTCAGCATCATCAAGACCCCGATGCCCAGATGGCAAAGCTACGTTCAACCTTTCAGTTACGTGTGCCCACAGCCAACCTTGAGCCAAACATCTCTGCTGTCGTGCCAGCCCTATGTACAGCAGTGTGTCCTGCTGTACCCCGAGCCTTGTGAGACCACGCGGCTTCTGCCCTGTAGGAGACCCAGCCTGAAGCTGAGCACCACGCAGAATTACCAGGCTTGTGAGACCAATCAACCTGAGAAGAAACGAATGGCCAAGAGCCTCCCACCCTGTGCTCCCAAGTGCCCAGAACCAAGTAAACTCAAGTTCCCACCATGTGGGATCAAGTACTCGTCTTCGTGCAAGGATGAATGTAAGTCGCAGAAGATATCCAAATGCTCGACGCAACGACACGGCACGGAGCTCCGGTCTCTCCAAGGGTTGACCAGTGGTTATTCCCCACCTCTACGAGGAGTCACTGAGTGTCCTCCACAGCGATGTGTGACACAATCTTATCTCCAAGAATACGTGAGTGGGTTTCCTCAGCAGAAATGCATGAAGGGTTACCCAACGCAGGAGTGCGTCACCACTTATTCCTCACAGAAGTGCGTCACCAAGTGTCTACCCAAGTGTCCACCTGAGCAGGGAATAAAGGAGTGCTCCACACAACGACACGTTGCCAAATGCTCCCAAACTCAAGAGGGAACCAAGCACAAGAGCTCCTCAACCCAACACCTAAGCAAGTCCAAGTGCGTCTACCCACGGGCCACCCAGCATCACGTAACAGGAGCCAAACGTTCAAGTCACTCCAAGAAGAGTCGTTGTGCTTCAAAATGGTTGTGGTGAAGGAGATAAAGAAGTAATTGTGAAAACAACAAGCTACGTAGATTTGGTCTGAGGTGATATTTTTTTCTCCCCTTGTTCCTGTTCCTTGTTCCCAGAGAAGCTTTGGCTTTATTTTCCCCCTGGTTGTATCCATGTTAAACTCATCGAGCGCGTTGCTTTTCTTTTCCTTTCTTTTTTTTTGACCACACTTCTGTTATTTTTCCCCCAGAAAAGATGTGAGTGAGAAGTTCAGTAACTCTGAGCGAGTGCTCAGGCTTTGAACTTCAAACCCTTACGACTGTTCTTAGTGTTCAACAACTCCAAGAGGCTTTTATTGTTCCTGGATCTATTCTATTCCCCAGTTGTACCAGTCATATTAAATTCAGGTTGCAGCTGGATTCCTGCTCTCTTGTCTGATTTATTTTTCATTTGAAAAAAAAAACTCTTTCTAATACCTACTACTGGGGAAAAAAAAGAAAATATATATATAAATACAGATTTCCTGTTGTTATCCCACTCCTTTGTGGAAAATCATGGCAGTAATCACACTTTTAGGACTAAGTTGTCCATCTGTGGGAACAGATCTTGGTGTTGAAAAGTTAACCAGAGATATAATAAAAGCAACAGTGCAGGGTGATGTTTAGAAAAAAGATTTGATTAAAGTAATGAGACTCATTAGCAGCCTTCAGACAGGGGTTGATTGACTATCCAAGCTTAGCTTGGTCACACCAAGGAGAGCACAACCTATTGGCATGTGGGTGACACTGGACAACTCTCATTCCTGCACCCTGGGACCTGGGCAAGTATCTCCCAGGTGTTCCCTGCTCCACAATTTCCTCCCTGGATTATGAAATGGGTTGTGTGGGATAGTCCCTGACAGAGCAGGAGGGAGAGAGGATGCTTCAGAAGGTATCTTCTAATGCTGTGACCCTGAGCTGGCCCTGGTTGTATCAGGGAGATGATCAGCATCAATAGTCTGTGGTTATAAACTTGCAATCAGATGGGAAAACAACTTTCAATTTCAGCTCTTCCTTAAAAATAACGTTTTTGTAGACAGCAGGAAATAGTTCCTGTGCTTTGTCAGCATTTTGAGTTCCTAGTTTGCACCTGCAAACTGGCAAAATGCGATGACCTTGGACATCCAGCAGCAACTAAAAACATCAGCACCTCATCAACATTCTTCTCCTAACAAACCCCACACTGAAACCAAAACACAGCTGAGAGAATTGGAAGGAAGAGGACAAGGAGACTCCTGGGGTGAGATAAAAACTATTTACTAGTTAAAATAAAATTATAATGGTAATAATAGAATATGCAAATGAGTGATTCCCAGTGCAATTGCAACCACCCACCAGTGCCCAGCCTGTTCCCAGCCAGTGATCCCAGAGCAGAGACAGTCCCTAAACCCAAATCACAACCCCAGAAGAGCGAGAGCCCAAGTGACCCCTGAGAGAATCCCCCTGATTTCCAGTCACCCCTGGTTAATATACTGACCATGATGGGATATGATCTGCAATATCTCATTAGCATATCCAAATGCCAATTTGGGGGTTTTGCTAATTACCACTCTCTCTGCTCCCAATCCTTTGCACTTGCAAACTGGCAAAACGTGATGACCTTGGACTTCCAGCAGCAACTAAAAACATCAGCATCTTATCAACGTTCTTCTCATAACAAACCCCACACTGAACCCAAACCGCAGCTCTTCTCTCTACTAAGAAGAAAATTAACTCTATCCTGGCAAAACCAGGACAGCTGGGGAATTAAATGAGAAAGAGAGGAAAGGTGAGGTGGTTTCATTCCTTTGGCTGCAGCCAAACACAGTCGCTCTCTCACTCTCCCCCCCCTCACACACCCCAGGGAGTAGGGGAGAGAATTGGAAGGAAAAGGACAAGGAGACTCCTGGGTTGAGATAAAAACTATTTACTAATTAAAATAAAATTATAATGGTAATAATAGAATATGCAAATGAGTAATGCACAGTGTAATTGCACCCGCCCACCAATGCCCAGCCTGTCCCCAGCCAGTGATGCCAGAGCAGAGACAGTCCCCAAACCACAGTCCCAGATGAGCGAGAGCCCAAGTGACCCCTGAGAGAATCTCCTGATTTCCAGTCACCCCTGGTTAATATACTGACCATGGTGGGATATGACCTGCAATATCTCATTAGCATATCCAAATGCCAATTTGGGGTTTTGCTAATTACCACGCTCCCAATTTGCACTTGCAAACTGGCAAAACGCGATGACCTTGGACATCCAGCAGCAACTAAAAACATCAGCATTTCATCAACGTTCTTATAACAAATCCCACACCAAAACCAAACCACAGCTCTTCTGTCTACTAAGAAGAAAATTAACCCTATCCTAACAAAACCAGGACAAAAGGCCTGAGCAAATAGCTCCCTCCTGACCACCTCACGTGGGATCAATCCCTTTCTTATACCAGGTCTATTTAAAAACTGGCTCCTCTCTACTCTGGCTTGTCCCAGTCACCAGCATGCTCAGGATAGATGGTGAAACCTGGAGTTCTGCAGCCATTAGAAGGAGATGGAAGTTCACAATTAAGACACAAAGGTGGGCCAGCCCATGGGAAGTTCTCCCACCTGCATTTATCCCACTTGCAGGGTCTCAAAAGCTCTGCTGATCTCAGTCACTCTTGATCCCCAAAGGATCCAAATTTCATTGTATAGGAAAAAAAATGCAGAAAAGGGTTTTCTTCTGAGAATCTGAGCTTCTGTTTCTGAGGTTTTGCTCCTGAGAAAGGGGTGACGCTGATATGAAAATATAAAAAGCTGATATCTCAAAGGAATCACTAAATGGTACCTGAATTTTTAGGGGCTCTCTGCATGAGGATGGCTTTTATGTCCTCTTGCTCCCTGCTCTGGCAGCAGATCCTGCTCTCCCTCACCAAATGGATTAGGAGGTGGGATCTGCTCCTGGAGAAGTCATGAATAGTGCAAAAAAACCCCACAACAAAACCAAAAAACAAAGCAAAACAAATAAAAAACCCACAAAAACCCCCTACCAACCAACCAAAAATACCTGGTGGCACCAAAGGTGACATGGGACAGTGCTGCATCCTTGTGGTGGTGAAAGCCAACCACAGGTTGGGCTGCCTGAACCACAGCATAGCCAGCAGTAGGAGAAAAGTGTTGATGCTCATCATTCAGGAGGTCACATCCAGATCTCCATGTCCAATTTTGGGTGCTCAGCACAAAAATCATGGACAACCAGGAGTGAATTTGATGGAGGGTGCAGTGTGGTCAGGGCACTGGGGGCTAGAAGAGAGAGACTGGGTGAGAAGAATCATAGTAGAATCACCTGGTTGGAAAAGAGCTTTTGAGATCATCGAGTCCAACC